ACAGAGCATGTCAGTAAATCAAAAGACTTTACGAGTAGAGTGCCACCTTAGACAATGTCGATACAGTTCATAATAAATTGTCACCGTGGCAAATGCTATGCAAAAAATTTGTGTATTGTACTTTTATCAAATCCTTCGACTCATTTCCGGTATCTAATTACTGAACTAAAAAATTCACATTTTCACTAGTAAAACATTGTGCTTCTATGGTTTCTCATTCATCTATGTGCAACTGGTTGACGATCAGCTAAAAATACATTCTGATGGGACAATTACAACCCTCCGTGCTCATGATCATTTATAACAAGGAAAATATTACACATGGAAAATGCTTCAAACAGCTCCCCGAAAGAATGAGCGGAACAACAGACGTGGATAAAGTTCGAGTGTTGCACTGCACTTCCATAAAGTTCAGACACAAAGCAGATCAATGAGGAAGCAAGATATCACTTCTTTACTTTCCTTAAAGAAACGGCTTGGTGGATTCTGCAGAGAAACAAAAATACCAAAATTAATGGCAGGTGGATAAATTTTACGTGAGACCTCGCCACGGTGTCTAATCTCCCCCTTTCTCATCCGGGTTTCGAACGGCGAAATTTAAAATACATAATATATTACGGTGAACTGAAAGTTCTTCACAAAAATAAAAATTTTTCCAGGCTTTTAACTGCTTCGTAATTTATTTATTATCATTAAGAGTCTGTTAATATGTTAATTACTTATCTTGCATGCGCAACCATGTTTATGGAGCGTGATCTTTTGTACACTATACACTATAAGATAACGCCTTAACAGCATACCAGATTTTGGGTTTGGAACTGCCTTCGTTATGCACACGTAAGTCTTTACCACTTTCCTCTCTCGCATAAGACCCGAAATTTCCGACGCTCGTGTTTCGCTCCTGAAAAGTTGTACATGATGTGAATGGTAAACGATGCTTAAACATTATATATATAATGTAAGTAACTGTTCCAGCTCTTTCATAGGTCCTTTCCTTCGTTTCTTTTTCTTCCTCCTTCTGCTTATTTTTGCTATGGATTCAGGGAGAGACACATAAAACATTCACATAAAGAATCGCCATCTTCATCTTCCATCGCCGCAAGAATCGCCATAAAAAACAATTCGCTCGTTCATGCGAGACACCTTCACTAGACATTCAGAACAGCTAGCTGCTTCAGTCTCCTTGTTGAGAGCATTTAACTCTTATTTAAGCAAAAATGTAAACACTTCTTGCTTCTTGAAAAGAACCATAAAGGCCTTCAAACCATTGACAAAAGAAAAGAAAAGCCTTACAACACCTTTGACAGCAACTCGACGTGTACATATTGAGGAACAAACAGCGACCATGTACTGGGACAAGAGACTGACTTGTCAGGCGTCTGTGAAAAACGAGGTGTAGCAGCGTAACGTCCCTTCCTAGTACTTCCAGTTAATGAGGTACACTCTTATACTTCAACCTCATATTATAACAATGCGTCGTCGGGATCAATTTCCCCTTTACCTTGCCATGAATCGACACCCTCCATTCAGAGTATACAAGCAATGAACAATGATTAAATTACATTCACTTTAACGATTAATACCGATAGACCTCACCCCAATCGTTCCGACTGTCAACATTTTTGACATAATTGAAGTCCCTATTGCAAAAAATTACAAACAGTTACTGAATTAAATGGTTATTACGAGGCCAAGAGCAAAACGCCGGTAGCCTGTTGATCAAGTCTGTGAATAAGGCGCAGAAAGTCGCATTTCGGAGCCAGAAACGGTCGAAGCAACGGCAGTAGCGAAAGAACGCAAAAAGGCATGTCTTTCGAATAAAACGCCGGCAGGCCATATGGCTTATTTATGGCAATGATGTCGTCTTAAAAGGTAGAAGTTGAACCAATGATCGGAACAGAAGCTAATTAAAACTTTACTTTGGTTGTATAAGATGTTTTCCAGCAGCAGAGTGACTACTTCGTCTTTGGTCATGCGGTAAATTCTTGGCAAAAACGAACGGATCTTCTCTATCTTCTCTGAGCTTCCATCGAATATAGGAGCTGAAGGAAATGAAGTGTGTGAAAGACTCATGCAAAAACTTTACAAAAGCTTAAACACCGAAAACATATTAGGACCGTGATTTCATTGCTGGCAAGCAGACGGTTCATTATTAAAGTTTTCTGCCGTTATGCCATCAGTAGCCTGAAACATCTTAAGTAAATACTGAAGAATTTCGTCAGACCCAAGATTCAGAATATTGCAATCCGAAACGTCCTGACTGCTACGATGTTCCTCCTCCTCAGAACAGAAGGCGACAGTCTGCACACACGATCAAGATGATATTTTTAAGACGAACTTCTGTTGCAAAACCAAATCAAGGTGGGAAAGAGGCGACGGTAACCGTCAGACTGTTCGATTATATTCGGAGCAATGACTAGATGAGTGGTTCGCCTTGCAATTTAGAGATGCAGGTTCGAACAACAGCGAAGTGAAAATACCCTTTGCAATTAAGGATCTGACTCAACTGTGCTGTTCTTTATGGGCAACCAATCGGGAAGCGGAGAGCAGACTGGCGACGTACCCCTGGGAAATAGAAACAGCATGGTGTTTTAGTATAGTTCCATTGCTAATCTAGTAGAGATCGCTTTCCCGACGTTCGATGATTGCCAGGTAACGACATTCGTTGAATTGTAAAGTTTTGGCACACTTTCACAACAAGAGTAACAGGAACACCATGTGAGGGTTGTCGCCTTGCTCACTTCTGATGTAGTCGTATGAAACTCGAAAGACATATCACGATAATACCTACCTGATGCAAGTCCCGTGAAATCACTGGCAAATAATTAAATCAGCATAAGTTGTAAGGCTTAAAGATGATTAATAAATAAAATATTCGGTCCGTCGTTCTCGCCTACTCAGATATGAAATACCTGAAGCTTCCCTGATTGGCAAAAATCGAAACAATTGAGAAAACTACCTAAGGCTCCAATCCCGCGGTACAAAAAAATAGACCAGCAACCGGGTTCGAAAATCCGTGGATAGATGACCGAGTAATGGATGAATGGTTCAGTGTGAGCGGGTATCTGTGAATGGATACGTGAATGAATGCAGGAACAAACGAACAAATGGCCAAAGAGTAAAGATAAAAATGAAGAATGAATTAAAAAAGGAAATTGGTGAATGACTGAATGCACGAATAAATCGATTAACGCATGCGTAAATAATAAAGATATTTAAATTATAGATGAATGATTAAACAGATTAATGAAAGTGTAAAACTCAAAGGTAAAGTTACAGGAGGGTTTAAATGTGATATGGACATTGTGGATTACACTATGATATGAGCGACAAATGTTCGCATTTGCAATGCAGAATAATGCATTTGCAAGTAAATATAACAAATATCATGCATACTTTGTATATAATATAACATATATCATA